GAGGGCTCCACGTCATCAAATAAAGATGACGAGGTGATGTATGGTTGAGGGGCCTGTATGAGAGCCTCACATCATCAAATAAAGATGATGGAGCAATATGTGGCCGATGGCCTGAAAATGAGCTTCACATCATCAAATAAAGATGACGGGGCGATATATGGCTGATTGGCCTGTAAATGAGCTTCTCGTCATCAAATAAAGATGACAAAGCGATATATGGTCGATTGGGCCTGTGGCTTAACTCTGGGCACCTTTAGCCTTTCAGTCGAAGACCACAAGATGTTCGCTATATCTGAATATGAGGACAAGGCATTGGGCGTCTATCTGAATATGAGGACGATGGCGCTGATGAGGTGGTCCGAATATGAGGATGAGGCGGTGGACGCCCACCTGAAAGAAGGTCGCACTGCTCGCTCAAAGAAGTATAGAGGAAGTCATAAAAAAAGAGGGAAGCCGACAGACCGCGCACTCACCGGCCTCGAACAATATAAATAAAATCTCCACAAATCAAGCCACAAATATGGCTAAGTACATATCAGTCAAATACTACGCATTATGGACAGAGCAAGAACATTCATGCACATCGGACCTGCTTCATCAGCGTCGTCCCTCATCTTTAGATCAGCGTTAAAAGCCTGGTCCTTCAAGGCGATCGTCATATAAAGGCCCCTCTCAATGAAAGCACCAAATGATAGAGTATAAGTCTAGAGAGAAGTGAGAGCTAGAGAGATAAAGTGATATGTATAAATGAATTTCTAACCCTTTACATGGCTTCCACGGGGATTATTTATAGGATAAACGTGGGCTGGGCTTCCAGGCTTGGGCCTAGCAGGCCAGTTACAGTAAAAGGCCAATAAATGGCTAATAAATGATGTTTAATCTATGCTAATGGCTAGAAATGAATAAATAGAGTGTACAATGAGATAAATGCTATCTACTGAGCGTACGCGGGCCGCTGTTTGGGCCCTATAGTCATGAGATCGGGGCTCCAAGTTCATATACTCTATCACTTGTTTTTCGGCTTATCGGGTTTATCAGTGAATTTTTTCACCAAATACGTAACTTCTCATTTCACGCACTGAATTGTATAATAATAAGAAAAAGTAAGGTTGAAGTTGCTTTTCTGGCTGTATTGACTAAAGTTACTGTTGAAGTTCATTTTAGCTGTTTTTTCATATAATTTTTTCTTTGCTTAAACAATAAAATACATTTTAAATATATATTTTTTCCCATAAATTAGCAGAATCAGCCTATCCGAACACTTTAGCAAGAACTTCATAAATTTTAGCATAATCAACTAGTGCAAACGATTCGGGTACCACCAAACGGGCTCTAAACCTTTTAAATTATGTCCCTAGTAACATTTTCTCATGGATCTGCCACTGCCGCATAGGATTTAATTTTTTTTATAAACAAAACGAGAGGCGCGTCTTTAACATTAGCGCATCATATATTTTAAAATTTAAATTGTGCGGAATTAAAAAAGTTCTTAAATTATTAAGGGTGTGCGGTGCCATCCAACGAACAAGCGCCATGTAGAATCCAAATAACCCTAGTTCACACAATCGTTTCGACGTTTCTTAGAGGTTATTATAACAAGCGCCACAAACTATGTAGCGCTTTTCTGTAAATAAACGTCGCAAACTATGCGACATTTTTTTGTAAATAAGTGCCGCATAGAAATGTTGTGCCGTAGTAAGATATGCTGCGCTTAAAAGCGCCACACGACCCCTCCCAAAAAGCGCCGTGTATCATGATTTTCCACCAGTGCCGCTACGGACAATAGTGGCATCTGTCAATCACCAATATTTACTAGGGAGTATGAAAATTCTGTTGGTGACTTCACCGCAATAGTAATGTAGTGATCACCGTTTGACAGTTACTGTTAAAGCCTCATTAGTGATTCCATCTCAATTTTATCAAATATCTCGTTAGAACATTGGAACTCTAGCAGCCATATGTTGATCGTTTTCTCTTTCCATTTCCAATTAGTAATATTAATACACAAACATTATGAAAATGGGTATAATTGTTTTAATATCTTAATAGGAGTGAAACATTAAATCGGCTCATATTCGTTTCATATCATTCACCTCAATATCGATCTCAACTAAGGACATCTTCATTCATGAGTGTATTTGGGGATCTTGATGACGTGGAAGATTTTTTGAAGATCATGATTGAAGAGATGGGATTATTTTAGAAGATTATTTAGAAAAAAATCTAGTAACAAATATCAAATGCTTGATTATTCAAGATTATTCCCAACTTTTTATAAACATACGGAGTATTTAATATAGCCATGTCTTTTAATTCAGAATGGCTAAAATAGCTCCTTAGCTTGAAAAAAACAAGCTCCACAAAAATGTGAGTAAATAAAGATTATGGTTGATGGGAGTTGATAAACTTTGATACTACGTACTATTTAAGATTTTTATACGGCAATAACATGAAAATGGTGTAAACCATAAAAAATCATGAATTTAACGAGATAAATATTTGGTTAGATAACAAACTTGCTGGGAACAACAATATCATTTTCTATCTTTAATACTCCTTCCGATCCTAAATAAACTTCACATTTTTCTAGGTCCAAAATAAACTTCACATTTCTTCTCCCTTCTTTATTTGTCAATTTATCTACATCAAAACAGTGCAAAACAGTGACAAACGGTGTCAAACAGTGCCAAACAATGTTACAACAATGTACTCTACAGTAAAGTCAAATTTATTTCTTTAATTTTTTTTGAAGTCAAAGTGTGAAGTTTATTTAGGACTCGAGGGAGCATGAATTGTAAACTAGATGTCACCGACAATGGAAAAACATATTGTCAAGAGAAACCTTCACTTGAACTAATAGAAAATGATGACATGTCAACTATAATGTTAATCCGGGTCTCTTCCCCTTCTCTATCGACTAATGGACGAAAAAGCTAATGATATGGACTGTTACATTTGTTACATGAAGTGTTGCCCGGAAATATAGACTATTAGACTGTTACATTTTTTATTTTTTTTTGAAAGTGTTACATTTGTTATATTATTATTGAATATGTAAAGGGGTTTTGACATGAATATTTTTTTTTATCATCAATTAGCCTTCTTTCATATCATAAGTTTCAGGATAATTACATCAATCAAAGGAAAAACAAAACTGACACCAACTAAAATCCAACAACTACGACTGTAAACCCTGTGATCAGACTTAGAGACAGTCACCCCTAAAAGAGCAACGTGAATCCCTAACCATGTAGCAGACTTGACACAACCATCCTTGTTCCCATAGATCCAAACATACTCAATGACATAAAAAAAGGCTGAACTCCCAAAAACACTGACAAACCTAACAACATAGACGATAACAAGAAGCCAAATGACAGAATAAAAATAACTAATAGGAAAACTTCCACGGACTCTAGCACCTCGTACAATCCATGATGGTGGTTCAGGAGAAGGCCGTATCCTTGGTACCACTTTAATTGATCCTCCATTGTTAATCGTCATCTGGCCTGCTCGAAATCCGTGCACCTCTCCTCGTCCCACGCTCGTAGCAAAATCCACCGCTAGCGGTCATCTTCATCCCTGCCATGCCCTTGCTACCCTGCTCACGAAGAAATCGATCGCTGAACTCTGGCTGCGATGTCGTCAAGCTTGGGCAAGGATTCTTGTCAATCTACCTCAAATCCAATCCTTGTGTCGGACACAAGTGAAGGGGATTCACCGGTCGGAAGAATCAGACCTTAGATCCGTTAAGGAAAAACCAAATCCTAGACCAGCTAGGAAGAGACCGCGGCGCTCGCAAGGCGTTTTTGGAAAATGGATTTGGGAAATGTTTTGACATGAATATTACAAAGTGTTAAAAATAGAGAAAGGATAAAAAAGTTTTTTTTTTTAATTTCAAAAAATGTGATAAAATAAACTAATGGGAGTTAAAGGATTATTACACTTTCAAATTTCAGCTGACCCGCTACAGTGATCAATGGTGTCAGTGCTCAATACCGTAGTGATCAATGGTTCGGTGACCACTCGAGCAGTGACCACCACTGTGCGGTTACAGTTATAACCGTCCAATGACCTAATTTTCAATTGCCTCCGTTGCCCTAGGCTAGTCACCGCTGCCGCCCCGATCAGTCACCACCACAGAATGTGATGTTGCTTTAAGATTATTTAATTTTTGTACTTTAAACAACATAAAAATTATATTTCGTTGAACTGTTTAATCTATTTCTATATGATGAAATTTAGTTTCATTATTATATGATACTACCTCAGTCCCAATTTATAGTCTCATTTCTTGTTAACTTGGTCAACATAAATTACTTTTAATCTTTTACTTTATATATCCAACTTTTATCAAATTTATTTTTTTATTTTGCGACTTTGTAAGACTTTTAATGTAGTTTTTGAATATGTAAATTTTATTTACCACACATAATTTGAATGTTGACAGACTTATTTTATCGCCGATGAAATATCGTAAACTGCAATGGAACTATCAAATCGGAACGAAAAGAATCCTATTATACTTTTTAAAGAGACCTCCATTCTCCATTTAAAACATGGAGTAGTATAAAGGGAAACTTCCCGAAATAGGACTAAAACAATTTCAAAATTTCAAAATAAAATTATCATGTTTTATATTCCCAAAATAGGACTAATTACTGCCATGTTTAGAAAATAATGACATGTTTTTTAGTTGGGTAATATATGAGAAAAAATGTGTACAGAGGACTGGACGCTACCAATTAAAATTTTCTTGAACATTTTAATATATACGATAATACTCCGTATTAATTAACATCGTTTGAAACCTATTAATATTAATTTTAAAATGTAAGAAGCATTCGGAACATGTCTTTGTTCGAAACGATTTTAGATCACACCGATATCCTTGAATATTAAATGCAAGTAAAATATTTTATTTATTTATTTATTTTTGACAAGAAATATTTTATTTAGTCGGTAAAACGGGAAAAAGGAATCGTCTCTCTCCGCTTTACGGAGTATTTAGTTAGTTAATAAATTCAGACCTTCACTTCATCCTTCTTTCCCTTCCAATCAATTTTCCATGTTTCTCCACCTTCTGTTTCTTACGTATCTAATTAATCATACGTCTTTGATGCACATAAACGAAGATAAGATTATTATTCCGTGAAATAGCTTAGGGTTTTGATTCACACACTTCACAGGTACCTCCCGTGCTTCATTGGCATTTCATTTCTGCAATCTCAATTTTGACCTAGATGTTTCCTTCGTTGATTCCTCCCTTATTTCATTTTCAATTTCTCATTTCACCTTCACCTGGATCTTATTGATGTTAATTGTTAATTTATATGTAAATTATTTGATTGCACTAATGAAATTTAGGGTCGCTGTTTTCTTTCATGTTTTGATCAGGTGATGTACCCTACGAATTATTCGATTGTTTCGAAAGATGACAGATTTTTTCGTGAATTGGTCAGATGTAATGATGTTACATTAGGTTTATGGTTTACAGTTAGCTTTGGTATTTCCCCTTAAAAATTATTATCATTTACTTATCAGGAGTTACGCTTGAAAAATCTCCATCCTAGCAATGGAGGAATGTGGATTCTTCTGTACTGAAGATACTAGGCAGTCTTTTTCTAGGTTCATGTAGCCGTGGTAGTGTTTCTAGTTTTTTTTTTACTCTCTAGGATTTAGGAAAGGCCGTATTAAGAAATGGCCGATGTTCAGCAACAACTTCAACAGAAGCCTGAGAACACAGCACAAGATGCCCGTGCTGAGTTTGAGAGGGGGCTCGAGGAGTTGATGCGTGGACATTTGGACGAATGCATGTCATTTGCATCATGCAGTTCAACAACTAGAAACACAGAGGATGGTGACGATGATGGCGAGCAGCTCGTAAGGAGGAGGAGGAGGTCTGACTTGGAAGGAGATGATCTAGCTGAGTCATCAGCAGCTAGGAGGCGTCACTCTAGGATTCTAAGCAGGTGGGCTGCCAGGCAAGCCCAGGAGATGATTACTACAATGGAAAGGAGGAATCGTGAATCGGAGTTGATGGCACTTGCTGGCTTGCACACTGTTTCCATGCTCGATTCGTCGTTCTTGAGAGAATCACAGTCTCCCACCTCAAGACGCCAGCGGCCTGATGATGAGAGAATTAGCAGCCGAGCATCAAGCATACTACGGATGTGGCGGGAATTGGAGGATGAGCATGGGATGGACCACTCCCAAGATAGGCTCAGGGGACGAAGACTAACACCACAAAGAAGTGTAGATTCTTCCAATACAATTGCCTCTAGTGTTAATCAGGGCAGTGAGAGTGAGAGTGGGTATGGAAATTGGTCTCGTGATTCTACTAGACAGCATAACGTAGTTGGGGAGAATGACAGTTCTAGCCGAGAACAATCTCCTGATCTCGGTGAAGTTGAGAGGGAGAGAGTGAGGCAAATTGTTCGTGGGTGGATGGAAAGTGGTATAACTGACCCATCATCTAATGTTTCCCAGAGGAGTGGTGGTGTTCAGAGAGGGGAATGGCTTGGGGAGACTGAGCGTGAAAGGGTTAGGATTGTGAGGGAATGGGTGCAGATGACTAGTCAACAAAGAGGATTGCGCAGTAGGGAAGGACAAGTGAATGGAGTTGGTCAAGCTGATCAGGTTGTTCGTGAGGGGTATGTTATTGACCAAGAGGAAGGTCACTCCGAGCATATTCGAAGGGACATGTTGAGACTGCGCGGAAGACAGGCTCTGGTTGATTTGCTGGTGAGGATTGAGAGTGAAAGGCAGAGGGAATTACAAGGACTGCTGGACCGCCGTGCTGTTTCAGATTTTGCCCACCGAAATCGCATTCAGGTTAGTTTATCACAGACTATAATTAATATTGATGTTGTCATATAGATACTTGTCTGGTCTATATGTTACTTGGCTGTAGGCTTCATTTGTTCTTAGTTGGGATATGTTTTTCTTGAATTAGTAATTAAACTTTGATCTGTTGCAAGAGCTGTGTAAATGATATTTTGGATGCTGGTTCTGGCATTGAAAACTCTAGATTTCTAGCCATTCCACCTGACTTTTATCTTATATACATTGATCATATAGATTAGCATTGTGTTTAACCCTTTTATGTTTCCATTTAGTCTTGTAGAATCTCGACCTTTTGTCTTTCATATAATATTATTATATTTTAACCTGTAATGTATATATGTATTATAATTCTTTTCCAGTCATTACTCAGAGGAAGGTTCCTGCGTAGTGAACGGCCTATTGAGGAGGAGAGACAACCTTCACTTGCAGCAAGTGAACTCATTCAGCTGAGGCAACGCCATACTGTTTCTGGAGTAAGGTATCTAGTGTGGTTAATTATGCAATTATCATACGTTATAATGAGTTCTTCTTTTTGCTGGTTGAAAGTTGTGCTCATTAATGTCTGTGTGTTTGGTTTTTCTTACTCACCCTCTCCTAGTTTCACCTGGTCCCGGAAAGTCTCCTTTCTTGTGACAGTTTGCAATGAAATGAGTGTGTCAATCATGGTGTTATCCTCTATCTTTATTAGGTGGTCACCAAAAATAAGTTTAAAATTTCAACATATGAAGAATAAGATGCTTTTTTATATATTCCACCCATAATGGCAATTATTCAATACAACACCCCTAAAGAAATTCCCAAGGTAAACAAGAATCTGATAGCATTGCAATTCATTTTCTATGTATTTTCTTTGTGTTTGGTTATTTTACTGAATTGAGCCAGTCTACTTGAATTTGTTCCAGGTTAGAAAACATAGTTCGTGGTCAAGTAAGCAGCCACTTTGACTCTTCATCTCACCATACCACCAACAGTAGTTCTAGGAATCAACATGCAAATCTTCCAGAGGAAGTTCAAAATGAAAATATTGAAGAACTACAGTTTAGAGACCAGGAAGGTAACACTCATCAGTTGCATGAACATAGAGAAAGTTCTGAGCTTAGCACATCCGGTCAAAGTACAAGTCAGCAGGTTTATGAAACAGAGGGAGGTAATCAAGGAGATTCTAATTCATACGGGCCTAATAATGGGTGGACTAGTGGGGCTGCTGAAAACACAAGCAGAAACTGGGAGGTCGACTCGATTACTGCTCGGCCCTTTGAAACAGCAGTGGATGCAATTAGAGATGAACAAACAGTGCCTGAAAACAGAGAAGTTTGGCGTGAGGATGACTCACGAGAAACAATGGAGAATTGGTCAGTGGGACCTTCTGATCCTCCTAGAATACGGCGCTCTGTTCCACTAAGGAGGTATAATAGATTCCACCCCCCTGAGGATGATAACGTGTACAGTATGGAACTCAGAGAGCTTCTTAGCAGGTAAAAACATTTTTTTTACTTCAAGGTTTGGTTTTGACTCTATGGTTCAGATTGTTCATATTACTCCCTCTCGTTGTTATTCTATGGCGCCTTTTAAGATGAGTGGCTGGATGGTCCATTTTATAAGGCATTTATTTTCAATGAAGAATTTGGTATTAACCTTCCATTATTTCCCATTAACTTGTGGTGTGTTCATGTTTAGTTTTTAGAAGTATTCATCTATGAGTAACAATGGAGGGTAAAACTGTGAAATCATAATCTACTTTCGTTGTTTGTATAATCTTGTCAATTGTTACTAATAGTAAAGGATCGGATGGGAGTATATTGTAAATATTTTTGTATTCTTTTGAAAATTCTGTTTAATTGCAGAAGAAGTGTTTCGAATCTTCTCCGAAGTGGATTCCGGGAGAGTTTGGATCAATTAATTCAGTCTTACGTAGAAAGGCAAAGCCATGCACCTATTGATTGGGATCTGCACAGAAACTTGCCTATCCCACCTTCTTCAGATAGAGACCAGGATGAACAGAACGAAGATGGGCACAATGATGTGGATCAAAATGACGGTATAGTCAGGCCTTCGCTTGTACTATCATCTCCTCCTGTTCCTCCACCACAACCTCTCTGGCATCAGGATTTGCATCACTCCGGCTGGTCTCGTCACAATATCCATCGCTCTGAACTAGTAAGACCCTTCACCTCTGAAGCACCTTTGAAGCCCCCTCTTGTTTTCCCTCTAAGCTTATCAAGTTTTGATACTACAGTCTGCTAGCAGCGCTGTCATAAGGCTTCTCACTTATGTCCAGAGCTACCTGAAATTCTGGGGTCCTGGATATTTGGTTCAAACATATTACTCCATATAGTAGTATCTTTGTTCTATATGCTGCCCACTCTATATTGCCTAATGAGTAATACTTAGCTGTTTTACATGATTGTTTTCCATCATTTGCAATGGAGCCAAAGATTCATTATTTTTTGGCTTGAGATTATGATGGAATAAAGCAAAATGGATCACTAAACTGTTTGCGCTTCTTTGTCATGAAGCAGCAGCCCGTCCATGCAATTTTGGACGGGATTTTCACTATGGGTCATCCGGAAACAGTCTCTCTGTGCTTTAGTACAGGGGTAAGACTGCGTACATCCGACCCCCCCTTACCCCACCGTAGGTGGGGAGCCTTTGCGGCACTGGGGTAAGTGAAAATGAAATGAAATGGTGTAAATTTTAATGAAAGTCTGTGGTCTATGGTTCTTCATAAACTTGCATCATATTTTAACATGCTTTTTTCATATTGGAGGTAAGTCTAAATGTCGAATAACGTTACCTTCTAGTTTATTTGAATAAGTATAAAATTTAAAATTTATTGTAAGGTCATCTGCCACCACCACCCACTTTGTTTTTTGTCTGTGGTGGCATTTATTAGAATCATCGAGACGGGTCTGCCTGCTAGTACAACCTCTATCTGCATTTTTCCGATGCTTGTTTGAGAATGAGTAGGCAATTTCAATATAAAACATTCTTTTTTGTGGATGAGCACAGGAGTGGGAGACGATAAATGACCTTAGAGCAGACATGTCAAGATTACAGCAAGGTATGAACCACATGCAGAGGATGCTTGAAGCCTGCATGGATATGCAACTCGAGTTGCAGCGCTCTGTCCGCCAGGAGGTTTCTGCAGCTCTGAATCGTTCAGCTGGTAGCAGCCCAGGTTTGTTACCCTCTGCACACACCCCCACTCCCACCTGTCTTGTTTCACTTGAGTTTGCTCAGACAAGTATGTTAGCAGGGGTTGCAGAGACGTCAGTGGATGGGTCAAAATGGGGACATGTGAGAAAAGGTACCTGCTGTGTTTGTTGTGATAACCAAATCGATTCCCTGCTCTACAGGTAGGTTATCTTTTTTGATATTAGAGAAAATTAAAATTAAAATTAAATATTCATAGTTGTGGCAGGCAGAACACTGATTAGCGAAGGGTATAATTTGCAGATGTGGGCATATGTGCACTTGTTCAAAATGTGCAAATGAATTGGTTAGGACGGCAGGGAAGTGTCCATTGTGCCGGGCACCCATTATTGAGGTGATCCGAGCTTACTCTATACTCTAGACAGAGTGATGACTAAAACAACACAAAAAAGTATGTATTGCATGTATATGTATTGCAAGTTTAAGATAAGAATAGTAAGGAGACATGGAGTTGAGGGGGGTTATCACTCGCTTTGCTCCTTAGGATCACAAATGTAGAGCATTTACTTCGCCTGTATTGTTTGTTCTGATTATTTGCAGAATGCTTTGCATTTGTAAAGTTGGAAAAACAAAACGGCTTCTTCTCTTCATATAATTCGTTTATAAATAAAAGATCATTTTTTGTTGTGCACTTTATGAAATTTATGCTGTTATATTTGTTTTTAGTTCCACGTTGACAGAATGTACTCTTGCAGTTCGATTTTCAGTACTCCAGATTCCAGAACATTAAAAGTTGTGTTTTATTCCTCCTTTGATCTTTTTTAGTGTTTTCTCTGAAGAATAAGACTTCTGAAAAAGTTTTGCATATGAAAAGGGAAAGCAAAATCCCACCTCCCACTCCATCCAACAATGGAATTTTACTTCACTCTGTTTTGTCTATTATTCTTATTTTATTTAGATCAAATCAAACTCTGTTTTGTCTATTATATTCTTATTTTATTTAGATCAAATCAAACTAGAACATAGTAAACATTCAAAAGCACACTGCAAACATCATAATAAATTTGAAAGGTTGAGATCCTACAGATCGGAAGATTAAGATCACGTAGTCATATTTTAGGGGGAGGGGGAAATGATACAGCTGTTACATTTATCATGTAAAGACCATGTTTTATTGAAAAAGGCAATATAATGAACCATTAATTATTGGTTTATGGGGTAATTAGTATATGTAGAATATTGCTAAAGCAAATTATCAAAGATAACCAAGGGAAAGTAGAAAAACTAGAGTGGAATGGTTGATACGTGAACAATAATTGGAACTTTAACTACTAGGAGAAGAAAAGGCATCCGCCGCTTGGGCCTGCATCTCATGCTTGATAGCAGCAGCCAAGTGATGATAGGATTCACCCCAAGCTTCTTTCATCTCCTCACTCCACTTCTCCCCCATTGCCTCTTCCACTGTTCGTAGTAGAGCTTCCTTTACTACCTACATACCATCATCAACACCTCCAAGGTGTGTTATTGCATATTTAATTGCATATAAATATGAGAAACTGTTCGTTTTTCGGAGTGCACTTACAGAGTAACATTTCATTTTTTTTCAGAAACTTCTCGTGTACAAATTGCATTTTTCAGAAACTTTAGTGTAACGTTCGAACTCAACCAAACGGAAATGAGTAGCAGAGTATACATGCAAAGAAAGATTTGTTTTTGTATATCGGGAAGTAAAATAAGTAATACCTCAAAGTGAGGGGCAGTGAGTCCCTTTTCAAGATGAACAGCTCCCAAATGCTTGAGGGTGGTGCCCCCAACCACAACTACACCTTTCTCCCGTAACTGAACCGCAGATTCACAAGTCTGTAAACCCACAATTTGAAATGGACAAATCAATAATATATGGCACACAAGCAACTTTTTAATTAGGCCTGACATTGGTAATTTGTACAATTCTCTTATTATTCTCCATATGTTCACAACTAGAGAGAAATGTACAATTCTGTATTATTCTCCATATGTTCACCACTAGTGTCCCACTTCTTTTTATGTTTTTCAAAATTGATCTTCCAATTGCATTTGTCAAAATATTTGTTGTCATCGTCATATTCTCTCTCATTCTCCGACTCTGGCCCGATTATAAAAGCGGGTGAAATCCATCTGATACTCCATATCTGCTACTCTCCCCTTCATCAAATTCAATCACAGGTACCGCGAGTTCATTTATTAAATATTTTGTGTTGATGGGTTGAATCACGTTCGGTAACATTGGATTGGCTGAATCGGCTGAAATTGATGAAATTTTGATTAAAGCGGACGGATCGACTAAATCTACTACGGTAAGATTTTTTTTAATAAAATAAAGATAATAGCTAAACTGGTCTTTTATAGTAAGAATAATTTTACTTCTGGTCTGGTTCGAATGGGTAAACATCTGATCTCGGCGTGTTTTACTACTGTCGAAGTCTGGTCTAGTCTATTTATGGTAGTTTTGTCTGGAATTGAAATAAGTTCAAATAAAAACATTTCTATTACATAATGTATTGGTGAATAAATCGTTGATGTAATTGACGAACAGTGTTAAATGGACAAAATAAGTATTCACGATTTACCGCAACCTATGTAAATCATTTAGTTAGAAAATATCTATGTTTACAGGAAATCAATTGAGAAAGAAATGAAATGGAAAATGAATTTTGATGAACCGACCAACTTGAAGACTATGACGGCATGAGACTTGAGCTTGGGATTGCTGCGATGAAGAGCATCATCACTGTCCTTGAGGAACGAGAACATTTCTTTTGCTGCTGGAGCTATCTCTAGGATTCTGCATCAGATTATTTATGTCAAATTAAACAATTCAAATTTGATATGATCGAGTCTGTCTTTGTACTAACTAAGTACTCACAGGGTAAAGAAACGAAGGCTGAGTTGAGATGTGTTTTGCTTCATCACTTCCCACGAATCCTTCACAAGAGCCTCTTGCTTCTCTGAGATCACCATTTTATCGGCCGTGTTTTTCGACGGAGTATTTATTCTTCTCAGCTTCTCCTCTCGACGATTCTACTTTCTGCTTTCATCCATCATTGTTATCCGTTTAATCGGCGCTCAACCGACTTTGATTTTATTCCTTCGTTTTCTCAAAAAAAAAAAGGGAAAAATGTGAGAGAGGTGGTTGGTTGAGTCCAGGGGCGGAGGTACGTGTAAAACAACGGGGGCCAATAAAGATAAAAAAGTTAAGTGCCCCCAATGAAAAATATAAAGGAAAACTATCTCTCATTGAACTTTCATAAAAATGTCAATTAAGTCCTTCTATAGTAGATTCTGTATGGTCGTCGCGATTTGGGGCAGTTCTCGGTGGATTTTTTTGATGAAATTTTTTGAGCATCTTATTCACCAAGTCTAGTTTACTCATACCAAATTTCACCTAAAAATTCATTCGGGAACACATTCAAATTAATTCTTTAAGATAACTGCGCATTTTTGCGTTCTCGAATTAATTTGAATGCGCTCCCGATTAAATTTTTAGCTGAAATTTGGTATGAGTAAACTAGACTTGATGAATAAGATGTTCAAAAAAATTCATCAAAAAATTCCACCGGGAACCGCCCCAAATCGCGACGACCGGACAGAGTCTCCTATAGAAGGACTTAATTGACTTTTTAATGAAAGTTCAAGGACCTATTTGACAGTTTTCCCAAATATAAATGGCCCCATTAACTTTTAGGGATAATTTAAGTTTGCACCCCACTTTTTTGTTCAAATTGGACTTTGCACCCCGTTTTTTAAAATATTTGTTTTTACACTCTAACCCCATATGAAAAGATAAAAATGCCCTTGATCAGGAATATGTTGATGGTCAACAAAATTTTTAATGGAAGGACATTTTTGTCTTTTCAAATAGAGTTGGGGTGCAAAAACAAAGATTTTTAAAAATAGGGTGCAATATCCAATTTATACAATAAAATGGGGTGCAAACTCAAATTGTCTCTAACTTTTATCTCCAGTAAACTGGTCATGGTTAGTATGTAAGTAGTAGTGGACCAGGCTCTTTGTTGTACGGACCATGTTAATTTATTTTAATTAACTTTGTTTTTATTAATTTAATTGAACTATAGCACCTATAATACCGTTTGGAATGTACGTATCTGAAAATTTTAAATTATACTCCCTCTGTCCCGAATTAATTGTCTTGTTTGCTTTTCCACAAGTTTCAAGAAAGTGGTTGAAAAGGTAAAAATTGTGATTGAGATTTGAGTAGAAAAAGGTGAATTGATATGAGCCACCCATTATTGTCAAATAGGAGTGGACTCGGGCCGGGCCAACCGGCCCGGAACCAGACCGACCCGCTACTGTGCGGGCCCGGTCCGGCCCGGTGAACCGGTTGGTGCCCGGTTCGGGCCACCCGGCCTGGTGAGGTAGGCGGGCCGGGCCCGGGCCTCCTAAATCGTGAACCGGCCCGGCCGGTTCGGGCCCGGTCCGGGCCAGATTATTATTATTATTATTATTTTTGATTTTTTTTAGTTTTTGGGTTGGGCTGGGTATGATGGGCCATTTGAGGTGGTTTGGGGTGGTTTGGGGGTGAGGGGGGAGGGTTGGAGGTTAATTAGGAAAAGCCAAAAAAAAAATATAAGAACCGAGGCCCGACCCGGCCCAGACCCGGGGGTTACCCGGGCCGGTTCCGGGCCTCCCCGTTCATGAATCGAGGCCCGGCCGCGCCCAGGTCCGAACCGGAACCGGTCCACCTGATAGAGACCTACCTATTAGATTAATAATAGAAAGAATAATAATAATAATAGTTGTAATAGAGGCTTAGGCAGTATTATAGTATAGATAGATGTAGAGGGAAGGTAGTAAGGAGGCTTTTGGGACGTATAATCTGGGACTTGGGAAGATCGAGAGCTATTCTCTTTCTTTTGGGGGGCTTCGGCCAGCTTCTTGTTACGATTACTGTTCTTGTTCTTCTTCATCAATAAAATTCCTTTGTTTCTTGTTAAATTTCTGTTAATCGTTTGGATTGCTGGAGATCTCTAACATTGGTATCAGAGACTTTGATCACTGTGGATGGTACCGACGCGCGCAAGGATGGATAGCTTGGAGAAGATTCATCAACAAAATATGGAGATGTTAGCAACGATTCTTGCCAGATTGGATGCGAGAGATCAACATCGTTCGAAGAATACCAGGCATCTTCAGCGATCTGACAAACATGGTTCGTCGCAGTCGCTCGCTAGTCCGCAATCGGAGTCACGAGAACTGTTTCTCTTAGTTCGCAGTCCCGAAAGATTTCGCGCGAAAAAATGGTGAAGCTCGCAGAAAAGGTTGAGAGCGGAAAAGTGGAGAAGGAGAAGAGCTTAAAACAGGAGAAAGAAAATCGCTCAAACCTGGAGAAAGAGAAACACTCAAGCCTGGAGAAGGAGAAACGTGCGAAGAGCAAACAACATCACCGGCGAGGACGATCGAGGAAGGTACGTCGCTGCGTAAATTCGAAAAGCAAAGGCCCGTCTCAGTCGCACGATACTCATTCCGGACCTTTGGCTTCGACTCGAGTAGAAATTCCTGGTTCTCAGTCGCGAAGTGTTTCTTCTAATTTCCGATCGAGAAAGATTTCTTCGACGGCTTATTGTTCGTGTCCAAGAAAAACGTGGGTGAGAGAAGAATCTTCATCTTCGTCGCTGAGTTATTCTATCAGTTCACATGCTTCTTCACTTGCGGACTCTCACCGCTCGTCAGCACACAAATCATCATCGCTTGTGGTTCCACACCGTTCGCAAGGGTCATCAGCTTCAAGAACTTTTGACATAGGAGCATCAAAAAAAGAATTTCAGGGGACCCCACCAACAAGAATGAACACAAAATTAAACCTGGTGGTCCCTTCAGTTACGGAACTAGACTCTGAAGAGGAGGTTGATCAATCTATGAGATTTTCATCAGACAATAAGAAAGGTATTATCCCTTTCCTTACAACTCTGGACAGAGGATTGCACAGGGAAATGGAGGGTTATTCTTTTCATGTCATAGAAGTTTTTTTTTGGGAAAACTCACAAAGGATGCTGCTACATCAATTTGGATTCTATGCTTCATGATTCCTCCAGCCTGAAGAATGGCAGCAAAGATTTGAGTTCTTTTAGAAAAAACAAACTTTCCTCATCTGACAAGAAAGGATGGAACCAAATAAGTAGGGCTGATGTACTGGATGATGCAGGAGCTGACTTTGTATTCTCAGCCTCAAAGTGTTGCTTGGTTTATGTGTTTCTTCATAGTAGCAAAGATTGTACCATTTTGAAAATGGACTCTTTTAAGAAATGTGCAGTGGCAGAGAGTTTTTGGTGGGGGGTTTCTATGGAAGTGGTGGGGTGGCATGATGTTGGGTGTACTCAAAGGGCAGCAGTGGATGACATTGTTTTACTGAAAAGCATGATAGAACCACAGAAATTTGATGTTAATCCTAACCCAAAGGTAGAAAAGTCAAATGGAGTTGAGCAGGTTAAAAGGGATGAGAATCCTGATGTTCAGGACATGAATATAAATTCTGCTGCTGTTGTAATGGGTATACCTCAGGAAAGAATGAAAATATGGGTGGCTATTGAAAGCCTTAAGACTAAGAAAGAGAAAGATACTTCACCAGAAACATTCTATGCTGCAGAAACATCTCAGGGTTGTGAAGATCTAATACAGAAACCAGTGAGATATTGGGAAGGTAGGAGTGCAAGGAAGAAGAAGGAGCAAAAGATCTTGGCTGTCTCCTACCGCCCACCTTGAGGGCAAGGTGGATGTTTAGGGAGGGAGTATTGATAGAGACCTACCTATTAGATTAATAATAGAAATAATAATAATAATAATAATAATAATAATAATAATAGTTGTAATAGGGGCTTAGGCAGTATTATAGTATAGATAGATGTAGAGGGAAGGTAGTAAGGAGGCTTTTGGGCCGTATAATCTGGGACTTGGGAAGATCGAGAGCTATTCTCTTTCTTTTGGGGGGCTTCGGCCAGCTTCTTGTTACGATTACTGTTCTTGTTCTTCTTCATCAATAAAATTCCTTTGTTTCTTGTTAAATTTCTGTTAATCGTTTGGATTGCTGGAGATCTCTAACACCACCCCTATTGTCAAAAGAGGAAACAAGACAATTATTTTGGGACCGACCGAAAAGGAAAGAAGGACAATTATTTCGGGACGGATGAAGTATGTATTACTCTTTAACATGAAAACATTGGCCAGAAAAAAATATTAGAAATAATGTGAATAAGTTAAATAGCCTCAACTCTCATAACTTGATAGATTACCTAATATATCATAAGCTATTTTAAAAACCTAATGTATTTCATATGTAACAATCTGGAAAGAATTCTCATTTTATTTGATGTTCTTTTCCAAATTCAAATTTATTTCAATCCGAGTTACAAAGTCCTACCTTCATCCACCTAAGTTTGGTATAAGCTTGATAGTGCGGTTATTAAGAAAAGTAAATCATGTAGATGATTTTTAAATGATAAAGTAAAAATAAAGTATATATGAATTATTTAAAATCATACAAATATATTATCATATTTGACATTAGACCACTTTAATGGAACATACTAAAAATTGAAAATGAGACAATTTTAATATGACAGAGGGAGTAATATGCTACGTATAAAAGAAGTTTTGCGCATGTGAAAATTCAAAATAGTAAAATTTGTCATTAATCGAGGTTTTTTATTCTAATACAATTAGAATGATAAAACTGCCGCACACAACCATAAGGAAAAGTGCTTAATTTTTAATTGATCTATTTGATTTCAGTACACCTTAGGCATTAGCGTTTGTTACGGGTACTATACCTATTATATTAAAAAACCACACGTTTTAAATTTGACTTGGATAAGGGCATATGGTGATGCTCCCAATAACAAACTATTCTGTATCCGCCCCTGTGGTTGACTATAATAATGTATTATTTTTTGGGGTAATGGATGTTTTCATTTGAATTGGAATTTTCTGATCTGATCTAATTTGGTCTGATAAATATTTGGTATTTGTGTATTTTATAATTGTTCATGTCTGTCTAGTCTGATCTGAAATTCTGGTCTGAAATTGAAAACAGTTCAAATAAAACATCATATAATGTCAAATCATTACATGCAATTTCCATTCAAACAAAAAAATCAATTCATTTATTAACATAAAATCATAAATTTATTCTATGGTCGATTTAAAAAATTGACAAAAAAAGTCTTCATAAGCGTCGTAGCAGGAAAAACTAATACATTCCAGATTAATGATTAAGTCATTGTAAATAATAGATAACGATTAAGTCACTTTATGATGATCAAGTCCCTAATAATGCTAATAGCGCACTGACCTAAGCCAGCATATCATAGGTACAGCTCCGATTCATCCATAACAAGACCGGGCCAAACTAGTATGTCGTACAAAACAAAATTGGAACCATAAATGCTTTGTGTACACCTTTTGGCACACCTTGTCTATCTACACAGCCAGATATGTCGATTTACATATAATTCACATTGAAATACAGAAGTTATCTATACACAGACAACTTTGTATGTGTAGACTGTAGAGTGTTGACAGACACTCTTTATGTAGACAGACAAGGTTTGCCACATGTGTACACAAAAAGATGTACGTCAATCATTTTTCATCCAAAAATTACAATCCCTCAAATGGGTGACCGTATATGGGACCAAGATAAAGGTCTGGAAACAGACCGACCTGCACCCATCTCACCGGAGAAATTCAAACGTAGATAGAAACAGAACAAAATCATTTGCACCCCAAAATGCAAGACACAAAATTTGGAGCTTTGATGCCCAAACTACAAAAAAGGACCAGCAATGAGGGCATTTTTAGGCACTCTTAATTCATTTTTTGGCTCATTTTGCTGCATAAGCCTCTTATCTATTCCAAATGGGTTGATCATGTACATATGGCTATACGAGGAAATGACAAAATGTGGCACATTCAACTGTTCAAGTGAGGTCAGTTTGAAACCGAATCTGAAGAAAACCCATGCTACACAATCGGAAATGACAAGTGGGCATATTTACAACGGTTTATTATATCTAATGTATGTGTGCATGTGACTGTATACATAGATATTAGTTCTCCACCTTGCTACTTACTCTTCAGCAGCGAGTTCATCAAGAAACTGTCTAATAATAACACGTTCCCTGTTAGTAAGCTCAGGATCATCAGCTAACAGCCTTTCCCGAATTTCCGCACTTGTGCTGTCTCTGTTATTGTCCAAAACCTGCAAAATAAAGGCGGGTCAGCAATTGGAACATGATAATGAAGGGGAAACCATTATTTCTATATAAGAAAATCCCTACAAATAGGAAATACCGAAAGAGTAAACATGAATGAAGTGCATAAGTAAGAATATTTTTGTTTTATCCTAAAAGGGAACTCATTTACACTATTTAGTCTTGATTAGGAATTTTTGAGGAACCAATGGTGGTCTTAAACGAGAAAATGTGTTATGTTTTAGGCCTAATCAGGCAATTTGTTCTTTATTTATTAAACATATGTCTGAAGAAGTAAATATATGCGGGCTAGTAGAGCACATGAAAACATCCTTTGATAAGCATGCATATCATTGATTTGTAAAAGGGGGATAAATGAGACTTCACTTTCACGTAGTTGTTGACATTGCCATCTTTGTTTGGACAAGTGATTGGCTCAGAGCTATTGCATACCCATTCACCATCAACAATATATTTGTACTCGTAAATTCCTTCCTGTATTTTTTTAATTGAAGAAAAAGAAATAACCATTCTTTAAAACAAATATGCAACCATTAACGCTTCACATATTACAATGGTATAATCACTTAAATGATCAATATAGTCGATGACTCAATTCTGTTTAAAAAAAGATACTTCATACTCACTGGAAATTCCCTATGGAGAGTCCAGGAACCTTGTTCTGCATCAAATTGAAGAGGTACTCTCTGGAAAGAGTTTCAAAAAGGACTTTTTAGTGCGGCATCATAACTCCACCGGCTTTTACTTTAGAAATCTAACCTCCGACAGATTTCGATAATTGATCATATTACCTGTCCCCAACCAATATCAAGTCCAGAGACTTCCACATTAGAACAATCATCACCACACCACATCAATGTTATTGGATTCTTCCTCAACCCTGTAAGCTTTAGCCAAAGAAGATAGCTGTTTTCAACAAATGGTCAAACAGAAAGCAGTAAAACTCTTCGGCAATTTGATCTTGACAATACAGCCTAAAAACAATCTCTTTGGGGCTTGTTTGTTTAGGTGATTTTGGAGGGGAGGGGTGATTGGTTTTTTAAATAATTTATCTCCATTTCTTAATCTTAGGACCTGTTCACTTCACCTGAAAAAATCTCACCTAATCTGAATTTCTTAATTTCTTAAGATCTAGTTTGCTCAGAACCTTTATAATATGGTGTAATCAAAACAAGAATAGGCAAAGAAAACAATATCTTAGACTAAAGTTACTACCCCTTTATCCCCTTTTCACTTTCCTCTTTTTGGTATGCATGTTGGCATACATGCCTGAACATTCATGTGAAGGATTCATCTCTTTTTATCTTCGTTAACTATGATTTCATATGTCAGTTCATGTTAGCTGACCCCAAATTCTTTGGGACTAAGACTTGGATGTTGTTGTGGTATGCAAGAGCATTATCTTCTTATATCATTTCTAGTCTGTCCTACATTATGCAAAGAGGGCAATAATAATGGAGGGATCAAATGAAAGCAAATGGGACTCACAATATCAGCAGTGGCACTTTTTATGGCGTCCAATTTCGGACAGCATGAACGCTTGCTCTGAGAAAACACACACATATGTTCAGATATTCAAATACACACAAACACAACACATTCTTTCTCAGAATCAGAGGTAAATTGCACCGAAAGAGAAATGTGACTTCCAGTTTATTCAATATGGATTATCTTACTTTTGGTTCTGTGGTAGCATCTTTTATTAAGACATACATAAGTCTAAGAACTTAAAATCCTCTATAGTCAACAAAAAATCTCACCCTTTAAACTTTGATTTATCTTTCATGAAATATATTTTTTGGCCAAACTATGATACACTTCAAAAGATGATTGAAGCAGAAAAATAAACCGCTATTATACACTCACTTTGAGTAAATTGTAAGCTTCATTGAATCCATAACCAAGAACCCAGAACATGTATGCCACCTGAATTTCATATCATCAGACAAAAAAATAAGTTTCATCTGACTATATTGCACACAGATCAAATAAAAAGTTTACATATGAGTCCGTTAAGTGTTAAAATCATACGGAGTAATAGTAACAATATGAAGTACTACCTCCGTCCCAAAATACGTAGCCAACTCCTAAAATTTGGACCTTGATTTTGATTACTATAATATTAAAGAAACTATAAATTTTATACTTTTATGAAAGTACTTTTAAGTTTTAACAAAGAACATTTTCATGTTATTTTTATATATTATAAATAATTTTCAATAAAAATATATAATTAGTCAAAGTTTCAAAAGTGGCCGAGTATATTGGGACAGAGGTAGTATGACACTGCTAAATCACCTTTTTCAGGGTATGTGTCTTGTAAATAACACATTGAGCATAACTTTACTACTTCATTGGATGCAAGTAATACTTATCACTCCCTCCGTTCCATAAAAAAATTATACTTGGTAAATGCACAACTTTAGAATTTCGCCAAGGTATACCGCTACAATTCAGGTAATCATGTTAAAATAAATGAAAAAAGACTCTGTTTTGGGGGGTACTAACTTTTAAAAGATGATTCCATTCATGAGATGGATAAAGTACTTTCTAGAACGAAACTAACTATTTCATTTATTTTTATAATTATTAATTATTAATTTATTACTCCTTCAATCCCCAAAAAGGAGATATGATTGGTAATACTGATCAGGATTAAGTTCAAGAGTCTTTTTCAGACGGCCTCACACCTTTTTTTAGTTTTTTAAGAGGTTGTTTGGACCCCGGAAAGTAGCAGGCAATTGATGGGGGAGCTAAGGAAAGTATTTTAGATATATTGAGATTTCTTAGTCTCTTTAAATAGTACTCCGTATAATAGTTATAGAAATTTATTTATTGAGATTTCTTAGTCTCTTTAAGTTCAAGAGTCTCTTTGAATAGTTATAGGAAAGTATTTTAGATATATTGAGATTTCTTAGTCTCTTTAAGTTCAAGAGTCTCTTTGAATATTGTACTCGTTTATTTGATTCTAATATAATTTATTTCCTCGCAAAAAAAGAAATTTATTTCTATTATATAAAGACAGAAATCCAAATATATGTAAACAACAGTAAACAAATAGTTATATTTCCTTCTCCAACAACACCAAAACCTTATAAAATAACTTCTCTTAGTGCGCGCCCTAGCAATTTCTATGATCCGAATATAACCTAAAGATAATAGGAAAGAAACAACGAAAATAGTTCATGGGAGATTTGCATTGCTAGTAAGAAAGAAACTGATACCGCTACTGCAGGTGCTCTTCCAAGTCCAGCAGTGCAGTGTATGTAGGTTATACCGCCATTTCTATTGATGGCCTCATGTAATTTGCTAACAACAGCAGGTAGCCTTATCCTCAAATCAAATGCATCGAAATCCCTGTTTAATCAAGAACAAGCCAAAATAATTGTGACCAATTACATCTGATTGGAGGAAATAATAAAGTATCCAGCCAATAATACTGCAGGAGACTTTTCAAGCCTTGTGCACTTTACAAATAGCGGGAAGTCATGCCAATTTCTACCTTACGCAGACACAAGTCGATAAGTTGACTAGGTCATAGAAAATAAATAAACTAGTACAACAATTTAAAGAGCAATAACCATACATGATATATAGTAGTTCCCCAATTTAAGCTATACGTCACAACTTGTTCCATTTTTAAAACAAAAAACTTTCCAGAAAAGTGTTACTCAGCAAATGGAAATTTGGAAACGGCTCTGAAAACTTTCATATATTCCTGAAACTGATCCGCAACATTCCAGGAAACATTTTGGTACAAATTTTGGGAGTTTTGGTTTCTGAGATGGGAACGCTGCACCTAAGAGTTACCATGACTAAATTATGACGGATTATAAAAGTACACAACAGTTAATATGTATGATCATAATATCATATGAATCTTACACCACAATCATTTAAAAATGAAACAGCTGCTTTTTCAGCACACAATTTGTAGGATGGGGTGGGGGGAAGTTATATATCAGCAAACTTTTAATACAAACCTTATTTCAGCACGCACATGCTCAATGTCACCACTTTTGATTGCACATTCACGAATCTCATTAATATCAACCCCAAAGTATCTAAAGAAGGCGAATTAAGGATTTGGATAAAATGCAGGGGACTGAAATAATAAAAGGGTTGTTTGGAAAGTGTTAGAAGATCAGGACATGTTTAATGTTTCTGGATACTCAAGATCAGAATTCTGTTGCAAGCAAAAAATAGTCTTCACTCCAATCTTTCGAAGCCTGTTCACATCCCTAGCACTCTATCATTCAAGAGATCATTAAAGCACATCACTTTTTTTAGAGATGATGTCAGATCAAACATTATAATGAAAAGTGCATCACCTGTAGACATGACCCAACAATCAAATCTGGACGGATAAAGTCATAGTTCAGTCCTAACTCATGCTTATAGGTCAAGACTGAAAACAAAAGTTAGAAGGAGAATGATCAATAACTACTCAAGGTATGATGCTTATAATAATTCATGTCATGAATATATACTGACACCATTTTAACGCACTTAAAGATTTTTTTAATTAAAGAAGAGTTTATCTCCTCCCAACAAATGGTCATTTTAAGTCCAGTTATTGTGCACCTAATAAATTTTTTACATGGTAAAAAAGATGTGTACAAATCATTCTTGTTTTTTTACTTATTTGGCAATTTAACAAGATTGACTAACCAGCTCCCATTGCTTCTGTCATGTCTTGACTATAAACATCAGATTTTCCCTCCATTTTGATACTCTCTTTTCCTATGTCAGACTTAGAACCATGTATGGCCTGAAAAGTGTCAAAGAAGGAATTTTTAGATCCTTAATTGTGAAAACAGTTAGATATAAGTATATAACAGATTCAGGGATCATGCATATATTTATGCATCAGTCGTTCTACTTGCGCGATATTCCCTGAGTTATGATCAGTCGTTCTCACCACACCCTGGATTGCAATATTTATGCATTACAAGAAGCAATTAAATGGGGTGGGAAAGTGTAAAGCGCTTTTACTAGTGTGGTGGGAAACGTTGATGGCAAAGAAGGCTTTCTGGAAACGCCACTGAAGCTTTGCAGTCGCGAGGCAGAAAATCTGAGAAAATTAAGTCCATAATAGAATACAAGAGCGAATCAATCACCAAACGAAGAAGTATATGAAAAGAATTGAGCAAGACGGAAGTGGGAAATGAGTTTGGAAGAAAACCTAGGAAGATTAGAGTGAAGGCAATTCATTCTGGAAGATGTTGGAAACCAGATTCTGCAAGCCTTTTTACTGCGTGAGAGTATTGCTGATAGATTGAAATGGAAAGGGGGTCCCCTTTTCTTGAGATGTATGATGACAAAAGAATACAGTCACTGCTTGACAACTGCATTCGATCAGTCAATTCCTCCGCCATAAAAGTTAGAAAAATCGACACACAAGGCAACTCTGTAACTGATACGTAGTACTCCCTCCGTCCCCCTATTATTGTCCCATTTTCTATTCACTTGGTTAACACAAATCACTCTTAATCTCTTACTTTATTTATCAAATTTTTATCAAATTTTATTCTGGTTTTTGCGACTTTATAAAACTTTTAATGTAGTTTCTGAATATGCAATTTTTTTTTCTAAAAATAATTCTAGTGCGGACAGGGATCTGTTTGCTTTATCGTCAGTCAAGCATCGTAAACCGCAATGGAACAATAACAGGGGACGGAGGTAGTACTTTTTAGTTTGTATCCTAGTTGGTTAAATAGGTTGGTAAATACTCTACTGGAATTAAACCGCATTTAATCCATACACGTTTACTTGGTCAAGAATGAAAAAACGGTCAAAAAATTGTTGAATAAACGTTAACCTTTAAAAAATGTAAATGCTTGTATATGTGTAATACAGTATCTGTTACAAAAGTCCGAAAAAAATATGGGGTGTTATTTTGAACATTTAAATTATATACTTCATAATATAACAGATATAGCGAAAAAATAAAATTATACATATATTCAAGTACCAAATCTCATTACTATATAAAAGAATAATTCATAATTGCATAAATCTATGACAAAAATAAAAATAGTAATTAAGTTCAAGGCATAATTTTGCAAAATAATGTCAGCCATAATAACAATAGAATGAGACTAAGTTAAAATCATTATCTTTATATAATCATCAAATAACATTCAAGTTAAACTCATCGTTTCCATCAAGATACACTTATGATTGTTTATGTGAAATTAATACTAAAAAAATGTCAAGTATAGAAAAATTTTGATATGCTTGTTTGGAAAAAAATCATAAATCCAGTAGTATTTCACGCTTTAGTCTTTTAGGATGCTTGCTCAAGCTGCCACACAATTAATTTTAGTATTTAATAATTACATTGTAACCATACAAAAACACGGGTCACGGGGAGGAGGTTTTCCTTTTTCCTTATAAACTGTTTTTGATCTTCTATGCATTTAATTGATCAATTCATATTTCTATTTTTTGTAAAAAAAAATGGGGGGAAATACATTTTATACGGGAAGCATGAGTTTTTTTTTCCTTCTAAACGGACCGACATTATTTTTCATTTTAAACGTGTTTTACGTTGATTACACATGACTCTGTATTTGTCTGTGCACAGACAATTGATTTTCGTTTTAATAAATAGGAAATGTATGTCACCCCAAAAAATGAATTGTTTATACACAAACATCTGTCTGTGCATAGAAAATTCATTTTTTGGGGTCACACACACTTCCTTTTATTAAATAAAAATCAATTTTCTGTGCGTACACAATTCACTTGGCATATAAATTGGTGTGTAAACTAGCGTGTACAAGTAGCATTTTTCTTTCATTTATTTGACCTTCTCAATCGCTTTTGTCATTTTAAATTTAAAGTACTTCATGGCGAGTAAGTTTTCTTTGGCTCTTTCTCTCTCTCTAGGGTGGGTTTCCAACGTTAGGGTTTTTTCCTCCGCTATCGTTTTTAACGAGGAGCGGCTGCCACAGGTGTGCTTAGACGTACAAGGTTTCTTCTTCTGCCATCAATTGTGCGGTTATTTTTCTTCTTTTGCTTTGGCGAGATTAAGCGGAGGGAAGAGAATGTTTGGCCTCAAGCGGCCGAAGGTTGTGCAAGGGCGGAAGATGGATGCTTGGTCTCCGGCGGCCAAAGATCATGGACGAAGTTTGGGGCTAGAGGCTGTAACATATTTGGATTCGAGGTCATCTGTGTTAGGCGACAGAGGATGCTTGGTAGAGAACATGATGAATAAGAGGCAAGGTGAGGAAGAAGCTATAGTACTGGTGGATCGTCCCCCTCCGGAGTATTTAAATCATACAGCAGTACTAAAGCTTAAAAATATTAAAAATTATATTAAAAATTATAATAAATATTGGTGTCATATTAAAAATCATACATATTCATGATTTTTTTTATGTATTTTTTGAAAAAATTAAAAAACAAATAAAAAAATTGTACTACGTAATAGTTTAAAACAATTTGGGATTATAATGACATATTCATGAATAAAACAATAAAAGGAAGGTCGGCTCCTATAAAACAATTTGGGATTATAATGACATATTTGACTCTTAATTTTTGGGATTTTTTCGCAAACGGACAAAATATGAAAGTAATATCACATTTTTTTTGCCTTTTCAAGTTTTTTTCAAAGATAGACTAAAAGGGAGTTCCTTTTCAAAAATGGACCTCCACTACCAAGTCTGCCTGTTAAGTTACGGATTGCACACAAGCGATTGAAAATTCATATCAACTTATGCACACGGGAGTATAAAATTTCAAACAAAGAAGCCACAACAATTTATATATATTTTCATGAAAACTTTAATATATACTTTACAAACGTAAAAAAGTTAATAAAATACAATTAATGTATATAAAATAATAACGTCAAAAATAATAAAAGAATTAATCAATTTTTAAAATACGTAAACTAATAGAAAAAATAAAAAGACAAAGCACAAATAGGTGAAAACTCATAAAGTGATGAAATCTAAAACTTAGAAACAAATATGTAAAATAAAGTAAAAATGTTTTGAAGCAATTTAAAAAATATGAAAAGTTATTATACATCTTCATGAAAGAGTAAAGTTTTCTAAAATCGGTATACATACAACTATACATGTAAAATCATCTAAAAATCATATAAATATTACAAAATGAAAACATAGAAAAAATCAAATAAATATATAAAATTTGAAAACATTGAAAAAATTCAAATAATAAAAAGAAAAATAGGAGTTTAAAAAGAAAATATAAAACATAAGTGAATATAATTCATATAAAAATATAAAGAGTCAAAAAATAAAAAAAAAATTTATGAAAAGTTTAAAATAGAAAAAAACCTAAAAACTATAAACAAAATATCTATAGTAAAATAAAAGTGTTTTAAACCACTAAAAATTATAGAAAATATTTTAAATTGATAAAGAAATAAAAAATGATCGAAAAAACTAAAATTGAATATAAATTTAAAAATAGAAATTTTATCAACAGTAACATACACGAATTAAAAAATTAAGAGATACATAATTCGAAAAAATCTTAAAATGTTAAATAGAAAAAATGTCACGTAAAAAAAGATTATTTTTTTAATTAATTTTATTTAAACTAGTAACATTTTAATTTTCTTAAAATTTAAATAATTTGAAATTGTAAATATTTATTTTTAACAAAAATCTCAATTTTTTAATACTATTTTTTTGTTTTTTTATGTTTCCTTTTGTTCATCGTTTTTATATGGTGCTACTTTTTGTTGCCTTTTGTTTCATCTTGTTGTTTTTTGTTTCTTTTTGTTGATGAATTTTCATATTTTGTTTCTTAATGTTTATATTTTGTTTTTTATTGTTTACTTTTTGTTTCTTGTGATTTCATTATATGGAATTTTGTCACTACTCACATGTATAGAGTGTCTTTGTACAAAAATAGAAAAATTAACTGGAAATATAAATACCAAATTAAGAAACATAATAAAAATCAAGCATTGATCAATATCAACAAAAAGAAACAAGATGCAACAAAAAGCAACAAAATGTAACAAAAAGCAACAAGATGTAACAAAAAGCAACAAGATGACACAAGATGCAACAAAAAGCATCATAATAAAACAAAGAAAAACAAAAAAGAATAAACAACATACATTACAATATACACATTTAAATTTGTTTTTTCATATTCATCACTGTGGTCCATGTTCAACTATCAATGAAGAACAAACATGCCTGATAAAAAAATGAATTATTAAACTGATTCACAATTATCAAAACTTCGACACATGAAATTCTTATACAAGTTTTTAATTGAAGAAGTAGTTCATTACAGTCCCAGAGCTCCAATCATGCATTACAATTCAAGAGCTTCAGTCAGCAACAACGTAACCTTGTCAAACTCACATTATAGTGACTGTTTAGAAATTCAGCGCTGCCATTTAAATGAAGGAGTGAGGGATGTATCAAAACTCAACCACCTTGCCGAAAATTTTAGCTTAATTAAAAGCATACATAGTACTTCATATAAGCAGAGTTGCAAAATACATGAACCGTAAATGTCTCTAGCAGCTTTTATCTAAGCACATCCAAGCTAAATCCCTCGAATCAAGATCAATTAGATCAGTTTCCAGAGCTGGAAATCTCAAGCTTGCTACTTTCCAGATGCAACTTTTACAAGAGAGTCATAATTATCTCTAAAATTGAAAAATGGATAAACAAAAGAGTTTCAACGTTTATTCACCATCTAAACATGTGGTACAAAGAACCCAATATTCTATTGCTGGACAACAAATTATATAAATGGAAGCCTTTGATATGAAAGAGCATGCATACAAAATTGAAAAAGTATGGCCATCCTTTCATATTAGATAGTTAGTTTGAGAGTCAAATATCATTTTTTTTATGTCAAGATCTAGAGGTAAATTGAAACAAGATATGTCAAGCCATTGGACTCAAATGAATGCTTTCATCAAAGCTCATAAAAGTTCCTACAAATTGGAAAAAGAATAATAAAAGCCACTCAATTTAGAGCAATTTGTGGATGAATTAGACGAGTACAAAATCAAAACTCTATGAACTAAAATTAGAAGTAAAAGTGGTTACCAATGGGCGCCCTGGTTAATCTGCGTGCTTAAAATTCAAATTTCAATTCACAATTCAAAATAAAATTTTCTGAGAACATCAATCCTCTAAACACACTAAATTTATGTATGAAAATATGCAGAAGAGTGACATACTTTATTTCTAGCCCGGCTTCCCCAAACTGTTGCCAAATCAAGACAAATCGGTGCTTCCCGACCACCAAAACCATCAAAATCATAGGCTACGTAATTTACAAGGTAAACATCTCTTTCAACTTCATCAACCATATCATGTTGCAGATAGGAAAATTCATCTCAAATTATTTAGTTTTTCGGAATTAAAGGAGTCCTCCTCTAATTGAGAGATCTCTAAGCATATTTCAGTGAGAGCACGACAGGGTTGAGA